TGGACATGGCAACAATGAAAGGAAATGTTTCTGAGAAATAAAAATATTTTACCTGAGTTTCATCCCGTCTTTCATCTTTCTTGAAAACTACATTGGGAGGAGGGAAGGAGGCAGAAGGAGAGGCAAACACCACAGTGTTAATCCTTTTAGATTTAGTTGGCAGTATTTCCTTAATATTTTTGTCTTATTCAGGTACAAATAGTTCATCTCAGAAGCTTATCCATCTCCCAAGCATTTTATTTGTCAGGTCCAGTCACAATTTAAATTCTCTGAAACTGGTTAAGTTGAAGCCTCAGTTTGGACAATGGCCCCAGTAGCATCAGAAACCAGGAGAAGCCCAACACTCAAAAATTCTCATGGGTTGCAGCTCAGCCATGCTGCACATTTCAGAAAGTGTGGTTTCAAGGTGTAGGTGCAAAATGGGATCATGGAATGGGTCTGAGGATTCAAAATCCATATCCACATCTATTGATAATGGAATGTCATTCAGCTATAAAAAAAAGAATGAAGCACCAATCCATGCTACAATACGGATGAACCTTGAAAACTATTATACTAAGTAGTGAAAGTCACAAGGTCACATAATATATGCTCCCACTTATAGGAAATGTCCAGGTTAGGCAAATCCATATTTGCCTAAGTAGATTAACAGAAAGTAGATTAACAGTTGCCAGGGGTTGAGGGGAGGGAGAATGAAAAATGATTGCTTAATGGGTATGGAGTTTCTGTTCGGGGTGATGAAAAAAAATTTGGAACAAGGTAGTGGTAAAAGTTGCACAACATTGTACTGAATGTCACTGAATTTGTACACTTTAAGATAGTTTCAATGGTAAATTCTATGTTATGTGTATTTTACCATAATAAGAAAAAGCAACCAAAAACGATAGCCCAGTGTATTTGAATAAGGGTCAGAAATGAAGACTTTACGAATAACAGATCTATGTGGAAGTGTTGAAATAAACCCCCATGAGACCAGGATGGGCAGACATCAAGCTGTGTAAGTACAGGATGTCTGTTTTCTTATACCAATTTCACACCCTGCCTTTATGTCCTCAAAGTTCCCCCAAAGGAAAAGTAAAACCCAGGAAAAAATGTGAGAATATTACGAATTACTGTAACTTGTCAATGCAAATCATATGTGAGTGGTAATCAGAGGAGAAAGAAAAGAGAGAGAGAGAAAAAGGAAAATTTGAAATATTTGAATTGATGCATTTTTGGAGAATGCAGAGGTCTCCCTGTTTCTTGGGGGGAAAATTAATTTAGGGTGATTCCAGGTTGTGCTGCAATGATTATCTTTGAGAATACTTGTTTTTACACCCATGGGAGGATATTTGTGCAGCATATAATTTCCTAGAAGTGAGACCAGTGGGAAAAAGCATCAACGCAATTTACATGCTGAAAGCCTTTGCCAAATCTCCCCCCTGCCACACCCCTTAGTCGAACTCATTTATACCAGTGTTGATGAGAATGGATTCTCACACATGCTCACATAGTTTTGCCCATTTTCCTGACAGTTGGCAAACTCAGTGAAGATGACATGGGCGTATCTCTAACCATGAAGAATGCTGAACATCCTTTTATATGCTTGAATACCTTTGGCATTCCTTCTTTTTTTGCTTTTCAGTGGTCTGTTTCTGTGAGCTGCCTGTTCATGTCCTTTGCCATTTTTATTTTGGCAAATAAGAGTTTGGGCTTTTTTTTTTCTCACTGAAAAAATTAGTATTATGTATTATAGATTATGTAAGATCTTATAATGCATACCCTTTATCTGTCACTTAAGTTGCATATATTTGTCTCACTTTTAAAAAGCTGACGTTCAACTTTGTGCATGGATTTTTTTATTTTACTATTCATATAACTTAACTTTTTCATAGCCAGATTTGTTGTGTTTAGATTTTATTTTATTTTATTTATTTAAATTTATTTTTGGCTGCGTTGGGTCTTTGCTGCTGCGCGTGGGCTTTCTCTAGTTGAGGGGAGCGGGGGCTACTCTTCGTTGCATTGCGCAGGCTTCTCATTGCAGTGGCTTCTCTTGTTGCAGAGCACGGGTTCTAGGTACGCGGGCTTCAGTAGTTGCAGCACTCGAACTCAGTAGTTGCGGTGCACAGGCTTAGTTGCTCCGCGGCATGTGGGATCTTCCCAGACCAGGGCTCGAACCCATGTCCCCTGCATTGGCAGGTGGATTTTTAACCACTGTGCCACCAGGGAAGTCCCTATTTTTAGATTTGGGATTTGCATTTTGCTTACAGAGATTTTCCTTACTTTGCAATTATAAAACAAAATTTCCAAATTGCAGCCTTATGGTTTCATTTTTGAATGGCTGTGGAATTCATCAAATACATTTTTAGTAGCATGGCGATGTTTTTGTACCTTCTCTCCTTGGACCTGTGAATACTGTGATCTTGATGACTAGACTTCCTAGCATTGAACCGTCTTTGCCCTCCTGGCCCAAGGTCCACTTAATCCTGGTGTAGGTGTTGTGTTCTTTCAATCTTCAGCCTGATTCTGTTGGTAAATTCTCACTGCTGTGTTTTTGCACTGTTATTCACAGATGAAATCAGTTTGCAGTTTTTCACCCCTACTCCTAGATGTAATGTATTAAAGCAGGTTTCCATGACAACACAGGAGTCAGGATTTACATTTGGTTTCCTGCTTTAATGTAACAGAAAACTGCTAGATTGAGGGAGATTGTCCCAGAGGGACCGGCTAAAGGAAGACCCCAGCAGGGTGGTGGTGGGCCTCCCTTAGCCCTCCTTGATGGACAACAAAAGTAGAGTATTTGGTGTTTATATTCATGAACGATGAAAAGATCTCTCTCATTACATCATAGCTTCAAAGTATGGTGTGCTTAAATATCAGACCAAAGCCAATCTAAGAAAAACAGAGCCAAACAAAAAGTCCCAAATGGTTTTTCAAAACTTTTAAAACTTTTAATTTTGACATGATGTCAGACTTCCAGAAGAGCTGCACGAATAGTACAATCAATCCTTATATGCACACTTTTAACCAGATTTACCAATTTTATCACACTTTCTATCACATCTGCTTTGTTCCGTCTCTGTCTCATTTTTGTTTTCTGAACCATTTGAGAGTAAGTTGCAGATATTATACTCCTTAACCCCTACGGACTTCATTCAGGGTGTATTTCCTAAAGCCAGGGACATTCTGTTACATCACTTCAGTACAATGATCAAAATTAATATTGATACAATACCATTGTCAAATTGACACACCCTTTTCAGTCTTCCCCAATTGCTCCAGTGATATCTTTTATTACAGAAGAAAATCCAAGAGCAACTTTGATCATTTAGTTAAGCCAGCTTTCTCCTCCATGAAGCTACTATTTTTCCTTTCTTTTATTATTGACAAGCGTCCTGCAGCGAGATACTTGCAGACCGCAGAAATACCCTGTTACTTTTCAGACTTCCAACCATCACTTAGCATTCGTGGATGGCTCTTGCCAGAACCAATTATTTTGGAGATTAGCAAATGGTGATTTTCTACTTCCATTCTATTGATTTTAATAAAAGGCAGAGGTTGACTTTCAACTTTTAGATGATTGTATTTTTTTGGGGGGGGTGCACGGTGGTTTACAAAAGAAACAGTGAATTTTTTTCGGGAAGTGGGTGTGTCTTCATTTCCATCCAGCAAGTCACAACTACAATGATTCTCTTGACTTTATACACGACATGGAAGTCTTGCGTCCTGAAAGATTTCCAGAGAGCATCACGTCCCCTGGAATTAAAGCAAATGCCACTGGCCTGGAATTGTTGGTGGCTTCTGGGGGCCCCTGTGGATCAGAGGGAAGCCCCTCAAAGAAGGGGAACAGCATTGATCAGACCCACAATTCTTGGTACTCTGGGACTGCAGTTGCCTCTTGTTTGTTCTCCGTGGGTCCATTCTTGCCCCATTGTCCACAGTGAGATATTATTGGAAAGAAAATCTGATTGTGTTGACTTTCGGTGTAAACCCTCTAATGCATCCCCGTTGCTTTCAGGATAAAGGTGGTGGTGGGGACAGCCCTTCACATGGCATATCAAGATTCTACCCTGTCTAGCTCAGCTTCCCCTCTTTTCTTTCTGTGCTCCAGCTACAAAGCCTGGTTCAGTTGTGAGAACACCAACCTGTCCTCCTCTGGGCCTTTGCACATGCTGTTCCCTCTACCTGGAACATTCCCCTGCTGCTTCCCTGGGCTGGTTTCTCCTCATCCTCAGATTTCAGTTCAAAAATCACTTCTTCGGAGGATCCTTCAGCATCTCCCCACCCCACCTTATAACACATCTGATGTGTGATTAATGGCCTTCTCCGCCACTGGATTGTGAGGTCTACAAGGAAATGGATGGTGTTTATTTTGCTCCCTGCAAATCCCCATTACTTATTGCATGTTGATTCTTCCATTCAACAAATATTTATTAAGCAATGGATATGTCAGGCACCGGGTATAAAACAGTGAACGAGACAGGCAAGGTTTCTCCCTTCCTGGGGAGGGGCGAAGACACAGGTAGGGATACTGGCGTGCTGTCAAGAACAGGGAGGGGAACAAAGGGAGGAAGGGCTGGGGAGTGTTTGCAAAGCGCGGTCAGGGAAGGCTCTTTGGGACAGAGAGGTGAAGCCAGACACTGGAGGGACAGGAAGGCAGGAATAGGTTTGAGTTAAAAGGACAGTGGGCCCACCTCCTGGCAAATTAATATTTGTTTAATAGATGAGACAAAGAACGAATGCCCTCAGACAAGAGTTGTGCTGGGTGCTTTGTCATACTTTATTTCTCCTGCAACTCCCCAAATCTGATCTGCAGGTTTACATGCATCATACAGGTGAGGCTGATCCAGAGAGAGAGGACTCTGGGTCTGCAGTATTGAAGAACCGCGTGTGTCCACTTGTGTCATATCCGAGATCTCCACCGCCCGGTTTGCCCTTTGGCGAGGTTCTGAGCATTCCCCAAGGGGTCATTTCTCCAGCTTGAACCACAGACCGCGCGGAGGGGCCCAGGCCACCAGTACATTGAGCGCACGGGGCGCGCGTGCTCGTGGCTGTCCCCAGGGGCCTGGCGCTGGGCTGGGGAGTACTCGGGGTAGGACAGGGCGCCCGCGAGGACCAGACTCGCTGGCGGGACTGGGACGAGGGGGAGGCGAGCGCAACATTTAAGGGAGTAACAAAAAACCGAGTAACCTAGATAAACAATATTTTAATGCAATATTTTTGAAAAATCAAAATGAATTTTCCGAAGTCCCATGATGAACAAAACAGCAAAACGTTAAACACAGGATCCGTATCGCTGGGTCGGGCATCTGGGGCGCCCCCAGGCTCTGAGACGGGAGTCACGGGGCTGGAAGGGGCGCCCCGGCTGGGCAGGGATCTGTGGCGCCCCCTCGGCTAGGGCGCGCCGGGGGCCTCCAGCGCGGGGCCCAGGATAGCGAAGCTGGCGGGTGGGGCGGGGCGGCGCCTCTCCCCTGCCGGTCCTCCCTCTACCCTTCTCGGGCCTCTCCCGGGCGCCGAGTCCCTTCCGAATCCGGATCCGCGCCGACTTTTCCCGCGGCCCGCACGGGGCCCAGCTGACGGGCCGCGTTGTTTACGGGCCGAGCAGCCCTCACTCCCGCCGCCCGCTCGCCACCCGCCTGCCCAGGTGCCCGCCCGCCTGTCCGTGCGTCCGTTTGTCCGCGCGTCCGAAGATCTGAGCCCCCGAGCGCTCGGGGCCGAGAGCCAGAAGGCAGGGGCGCAGCGCCGGGCTCGGGGCCCTGAGATCGCGGGACGGGGCCCGGGCCGCAGTGGCCCGGAGTCGGGGCCGCCTCCACCGGGCCGCGCTGCCGGATTTGCAGCGGCGGAGGCCGCGCGCCCCTCCTGGGGCTGTTTCAAGGACCCTCCCGGGCGGAGGCTGCGGCCCCTGGGCCGCCCGCGTGGAAGAGAAGGACGCGCGGCCCCCAGCGCCTCTCGGGCGGCTGCTTTGGAGCATGCACCCCTCGGCCCGGCGCCGCGCGCTCTGATCCATCCGGACCCCGCGCTCCCGTAGCCATGGGCGCCGGGGGCGGGCGGGGGGCGGCGGCCGTGCCACTGCTGGTGGCCGTCGCCGCGCTGCTGGTGGGCGCCGCGGGCCACCTGTACCCTGGAGAGGGTGAGTCTGGAGGTCCGGGAGTGGGCGGGGACCAGCGCGGTGGGGAGGGGACCCTTTGCCAAAATGGAACCCCTGCTGTGGACTGAGAGCCCTCCTCCGTGGGAGGGCGGGTGGCCGGGACTGTAGCTCCAGCCTCGCGGGGGGCGGGAAGCCGCTGACCTTGGCCTTTGCCCGCCTGGGCTCGCGGCTCCACGCTCCGCGTGCGGGCCCCGGGCTGGAGGAACCTTGCCCCAGTGCTCGCCCCTCCACGGGCGCCTCCCCCGAGCGCTCCTCGGACCTGTGCCGTGCCTGGACCTCCCCGAGCCCAACTGGCTCCGGAGACGGGGCACGCGTCCTGAGTCGCCTCCGAGAAGTGGGGTTATTGGACACTCTCGGGCAGCCAAATTCCTGGGGCACAGACGGTTTGGAGCCAGAGTCGAGGGTGACAGACTGGGGAGGGGGATCCCTCGGGGGTCCCTGCTGGTAGGTGACGCTGCCCGGGGCGGGGAACTGTAGAATCCACCCCCCCTACCCCTCCCCGCTTCCTCGTATCTAGACCCATGGCTACCCCGACTTCAGGTCCATGTTTACACTCTTGGGTCCTGTTTCCAGATATCGGGAGGCAAACTCTAGCGCCTTGGCAGCAGCGCAGTTGTAGTAGCAGAGGTGGTGTCGGCTTTAATGATTATTGTAGTTAGTGTCACCAAATGCCACGGGCTGGTCGCTCTTATCTCTCTGGACCCTTTTTTTTTTTTTTTTTTGAGATTTTTTTGATGTGCACCATTTTGAAGTCTGTATTGAATTTGTTACAATGTTGCTTCTGTTTCACGTTTTGGTTTTCTGGCCGCTAGGCGTGTGGGATATTAGCTCCCCGACCAGGGATCGAACCCGCACCCCCTGCATTGGAAGGGGTAGTCTTAATCAGTGGACCGCCAGGGAAGTCCCTCTTTCTGGACCTTTGCGGCGGCCTCTTGAGGCTGATACCGTTGTTGGTCCATTTTGTAGGGAGTAAACTGAGGCTCAGGAAGGACACATAACTCACTTGCCCCAAAGTCAGTGCCAGAGGGAAAAACGAACCTCTCCAGTGGTGCCAGGGCCCAAGGCTCTGGACTGCTGCCCATGGCCCATGTCCCCCTAATAACCTCCCTCCTCTGCCCTTTTACCTGTCAGCTCCGAGAGGTCTCTAACCTGTGGTCATTCCAAAGCCTCCCTCCTGAGTGTCCCGGTGCTGGCAGCCACCGGAGGCAAATCCCAGCATCCTTCTTGGGCTTGACAGCAGGTCTTCCTGGCTGCAGGTCAAGGACGGAAGAATCGTTTAAGAGAATGTAGCTGGGGTTTCCCGCCATGATGGCTGAGGCCCTGCTTTCAAAGTATCTGTTGGGTTACTACTTAAGATTTCGCCATAAAAGGAGATCGGTCATGAGGAGGAAGGGGCCAAGGAGGGAAGAAACCCAAGCTCCTGAGTTCCCCGACGGTGAGCTTGGGGCGTGAGAAAACACACGCAGGCTCTGGAGTTGACAAACCGGGTTTGCTGAGCACCTTTGCCAGTTAGGCACTGTCTCCAAGCACCCTGGTATACAGCGGGTGCTCCATGAAGGAGGGCGGCAATTGGTTTAGGGTCTTGTTAAAAAAGTCCGAGACCAGTTGTTAGGCTTTGCGTATGCGTGTGTGTGCTCACCCCTGTATGTTTCCTTGCTTCTCTGTTCCTGGCTTTGGTAATTAATGGTGGATTTGGGCCTGGGCTTTCAGGGCTCTGTAGATGGATTTTCCGCTTCTTGTTTACAGTTTCCACAAGGGCAGAGGTTTATGTTTCTTTCGTTCACTGCTACGTTTCCAGAGCCTAGAGCAGTCCCTGGCACCTAGTAGGTATTTGATAAATATTTGTTCTAGATTCAACTCCTATCCTTCCTGTCCTCCCCAGGAGTCCAAGTCACAGCTGCTTTATTCTCCAAATAATTCCTAACTAACGAGAATATAAGCAAACACTCAGCGGGCGCTGTTCTATACACTTTGCATAGGTAATCTCGGTTAATCCTCACCACGGTGGTGCTCGGAGGTAAGGCTTATTGTCCTTTTGGAAGGTGAGGAACTTTGGCGAGATGGCAGAGCTGAGATTAGAACCCCAGTCTGTTAATAAAAGGTTCTTCTTTGGATTCTGAACCTCCCCACCCCCGTGGTAAAGGTTAACAAAATACTACTGAATAGATGACATGTGATGCCCTTTGGAGGTTTAGGGAGGGGCGTGAAACTTTACAGATGGCTTATCTCCAACAGCAACCAATATGGCATTTTGGCTGGGGTGAGGGTGGGGTAGAGGGAAATCAATGGGATTTTTAAGGACTGAGGACTCAGAGATGTCACATGGTATGTGCCATCCCACTTCGTCCCCCCATGGAGTCTCTGTGGCTTGGCTGAACTGGGCAATGGCTTTCCCCTCCATTTCTCCCTGGGTTGATCCGCTCTGGCCCGAGATGACCCGGGGCATTGCAAAGTCAGAGAATGAAGGCAAAGTGGGATTAATTACAGTGAAAACCCACAGAGTTTCGGCGGGGGTGGAGGGGTGGGCAGTGAGTTGTTTAGTTGAGGTGTGAGATGTTGCTTTCAGATCCCACGGGATGTTTCTCCTGTGTGTTCTCTTGTGTGCTCCGGGACCCTTAGAGCAGAACTTCCGCTCGCCAGGTCACCTCCCCGGGTTTGCTTCCCTCCTGGTGACCCACCCCTCACCCCTGCCCCACTTACTCATAGAGGTCATTGGGGTGAGCCCCCTGGGGTCCCCACCTCACTCCACTCCATCGTTGACTTCCTTTCTTTTTTGACTTCTCTGCTCTCGACATATGGGGTTGGATAGCTCTTGGTTGCAGGGGGCTGTCCTGTGTGTTTTAAGATGTTGAGCGCCATCCCTCATCTCTAGACGCCAGTAGCAATTCCCCTCTCCAAGTCATGACCGCCAGAAGTGTCTCCAGACATTGCCAACTGTCCTGAGTTAAGAATCACTGCATTTGGGGAGATAACTTTTTCCTTCTCTAGGACACTTACCCACCTGGGTCCCCTGCTCTCTCCCCTCTGTTTGTTCAGGGATCTCCATCTACCCACGAGCCTTTTTCTTTTCAGCCTATAAACACTCAATACTCCCCTGGGCCCCATTACTCACCACTTACCTCTCTCCTTCCCCCTGCCAAGCCTCCCCTCCAATGGGTCCCCACCGCCCTTGCTCTCTCACATTTCACCCACTGCTCTGCCCACGGCATCTGGCTTATGTCTCCATCGCTTTGCCCATGGCGCTAGAGAAGGTCATCCCTCACCTCCCAATTGTAGCCTCACCCCAGTTGATTTCTCTGGGTTTTGCCTCCCACTGGAAGGCACCGTCTCCTGGTGAGTTTTCACCTGTGTCTGACTTCCCCCATCCTCTTTCTTCCTTTCCTCTGCTCCTTTCCTAGACTAAGATATTAGGCCCTTCTTCATAGAGGGCCATTCTCTACTCTTGACTCTCTCTGTCTCACTCAGTTTTTAATTTATATGTGGTCAAAGGCTTTATCTAGAACAGGGGCCAAATCCTGCCCACCCACGCCAGTTTTTTTGTAAATAAAGTTTTACTGGCACGCAGCCATGCCCATTCGTTCATGCATCATCTGTGGCTGCTTTTGTGCTCTCAAGGCAGAGTTGAATAGTTGTGATCGCGTGGCTCCCAACAATATTTACACTTACTTGGGCCCTTTCCAAAGTTTGCCAACTCCTGATTTAGAACAAACTCCTTGAGAATCATGATGACATACCTCATAGCTTGTGTGGTCCCTGATACAACTTTGAATGAATCAAGTTAAATGAAACGCCCAGGGATGCTGTTGTTTTCCCCTTTACAGAGCAAGTTGTATTAAAGAAATTTATACCATTTGCTGTGTTGAATGTAGGGGTTCCGGTGGTGAGAAAATAACAGTGATGTTCCCTCCTTGGGTGTGTGTTTGTGTGTGTGTGTGCGATCTTTGGATTTATTTGTTTAAACAGTCTTCTTGGCATTGAATGAGGATTCCGTGGCCCTCTCTGTAGTACCAAAAGAAAGTGGTATCTGCTATGAGATGTTCTCTTGAGACCCGCCCTTATGTTAATTTCTATTAAGAACACATCGGGGTGGCTTGGGTTATGCTTTGCAACTTAAAAACTATATTTATGGGACTTCCCTGGTGGTCCAGTGGTTAAGACTTCCCCTTCCAATGCAGGGCGTGCGGGTTCGATCCCTGGTAAGGGAGCTAAGGTCCCACATGCCTCCCAGCCAAAAAACCAAAACATAAAACAGAAGCAATATTGTAAAAAATTCAGTAAAGGCTTTAAAAATGGTCCACGTCAAAAAAAATCTTAAAAAAGCCGTATTTATGATTTTCAAATTAAAATAATAACAGGTAGTGCATTCTCATTGCAAAAAAATTATGAAAGTATAGAGAGGAAAAAACCAGAGTCCCCCTTTGTCCCTAAAACCATTGCATTTCTGTCCTGGGAAATGACTATGCTATCAGTTTGGTGTGTATCTTTATTTATTTATTAAAAAAAATTTTTTTTTAAACATAAGTGTACTGGCCAATGAATTTTTTTCCTTTTTTTTTAAAGTTTATTTTTTCTTGTGTGACTTTAAAAAAAATAAATTTGTTTATTTTAATTTTATTTATTTTTGGCTGTGTTGGGTCTTTGTTGCTGTGCATGGGCTTTCTCTAGTTGCAGCCAGCGGGGGCTACTCTTTGTCGCAGTGCGCGGGACTCTCATTGCGGTGGCTTCTTTTGTTGTGGAGCGCGGGCTCCAGGCACGCGAGCTTCAGTAGTTGTGGCACGTGGGCTCAGTAGTTGTGGCTCTCGGGCTCTAGAGCGCAGGCTCAGTAGTTGTGGCGCATGGGCTTAGTTGCTCCGCGGCAT